ATTAGATTAGATTAAAAAAATAGATTAGATTAGTTTAGTTTGATAGATTAGATTAGATTGGACAGATTAGTTTAGATTAGATTAGACTAGGTAGATTAGATTAGGTACATTAGATTAGATTAGGATTGGATTAGATTAGGTAGATTAGATAAGATTAGGTAGATTAGATTAGATTAGATTAGTTAGATAGATTAGATTAGATTAGATCAGATTAGATTAGATCAGATTATGCAGATAAGATTATATTAGATTAGATTGGATAGATTAGATTCCATTGGATAGGTTAGTTTTGTTTAGATAAGATTAGATTAGATTATATAGATAAGGTTGGATTAGATTAGAATTATGATTAGAATCAGATTTGATTAGGTAGATAAGATTAGATTAGATTGGATAGGTTTTATTAGATTGGATAGATTAGTTTCGATAAGGTAAGATTAGATTACATAGACTAGATTAAACCAGATTAGATTAGGTTAGAAAAATTAGATTAGAATTAGATTAGTTTAGGTAGATTAGATTAGGTTAGATTAGACTAGATTAGAATTAGATTAGATTAGAATTAGATTAGGTTAGGTAGATTAGATTGGATTAGATAGATTAGATTAGATTGATTAGATTAGATTAGAATTAGGTTAGATTAGGTAGATTAGATTAGATTAGATTAGATAGATTAGATTAGATTGATTAGATTAGATTAGATTTGGTTAGATTAGAATCTGATTTGATTAGGTAGGTTCGGTTAGATTAGATAGATTAGATTAACAAGATTAGATGAGATTAGACTAGATGGATTAGATTAGATTAGATTAGGTAAATTTGATTAGATCAGGTAGATTAGATTAGATTAGAATTGGAATAGATTAGGTAGATTAGATTAGATTAGGTCGATTAGGTTAGATTATATAGATTAGATTAGATTAGAATTATATTTGCTTTGATTAGATTAGGTAGATTAGATTAGATTAGATTAGATTTGAGTTAGATTTGGTTAGATTAGGTAGATCAGATTAGATTAGGTAGATTAGGTTAGATTAGATTAGGTAGATTAGATTAGATTAGATTAGATTAGATCAGATTAGATAGATTAGATTAGATAGATTAGATTACGTTAGGTTGGATTAGATTAGATTAAATTAGAATTAGATTTGATTAGGTAGATTAGATTAGATTAGATAGATTAGATCAGATTAGATTAGATTAGATAGATTAGATAGATAAATTGGATTAGATTATATTAGATTAGATTTAGATTTGATTGATTAGATTAGATTAGATGAGGTTAGATAAGATTAGATTAGAATCAGATTAGATTAGGTAGATTAGGTCAGATTCGACTAGATAGATTAGATTAGAGTAGATTAGGTAGATTAGATTAGAATAGATTAGATTAGATTAGATAGATTAGGTTTGATTAGATTCGAATTAGAGTCGGTTAGGAAGATTAGATAAGATTAGATTCGATTAGGTTAGATTAGATTAGATTAGGTTAGATTAGATAGATTAGATTAAATTTGATAGATTAGATGAGGTAGATTAGATTAGATTAGATTAGATTAGATAGATTAGATTGGATTAGGTAGATTAGATTAGATTAGATAGATTAGATTAGACATAGATTAGATTAGATTAGAAATAGATTAGATTAGGTAGATTAGATTAGATTAGAGTTGGATTAGATTAGGTAGGTTAGATTAGATTAGATTAGATTAGGTAGATTAGATAAGATTAGATTAGGTAGATTGGATTTGATTAGATTCGATAGATTAGATGAACACATTAAATTAGATTAGATTAGGTGGATTAGATTTAGATTTGACTCATTAGATTAGATTAGATTAGATCAGGTTAGATAAATTAGATTAGAATCCGATTAGATTAGGTAGATTAGGTCAGATTCGGCTAGATTGATTAGAGTAGATTAGATAAGGTTAGGTAGATTAGAATTGATTAGGTAGATTAGTTTAGATTAGAATTAGTTTCGATTAGGTAGATTAGATTAGATTAGGTAGACTAGATAAGAAATAGATTAGATTAGGTAGATTAGATTAGATTAGTTAGATTAGATGAGACATAGATTAGATTAGGTAGATTAGATTGGATTAGATTAGAATTGGATCAGATTGGATAGATTAGGTTAGATTTGATTAGGTTAGATTAGATTAGATTAGAATTGGATTAGGTTAGGTAGATTAGATTAGATTAGATGAGGTAGATTAGATTAGATTAGATTTAGGTAGATTAGATTAGGTTAGATAGATTAAACTAGATTAGAATTAGATTAGATTATATAGATTAGATTCGGTTAGATTAGATTAGATTAGATAGATTGGATTAGGTTAGATTAGATTAGGTTAGGTAGATTAGATTAGATAAGAATTGGATTAGATTAGGTAGATTAGATTAGATTAGATTAGGTAGGTTAGATTAGATTTGAATTGGATTAGATTAAGTAGATTAGATTAGATTAGATTAGGTAGGTTAGATAAGATTGGAATAGTTAGATTAGATTAGATTAGATTAGATTAGACTAGATTAGATCAGATTATGTAGATAAGAAAAGATTAGATTGGATAGATTAGATTCGGTTGGATGGGTTAGTTTAGTTTAGATAAGATTAGATTAGAAATTTTATATAAGGGTTGGATTTAATTAGAATTAGGATTAGAATCAGATTTGATTAGATTGATTAGATTAGGTTAGATTGGATAGGTTTTATTAGATTGGATAGATTAGTTTAGTGTAGACTAGATTAGGCTAGATAGACTCGATTAGATTAGATTAGATAATTTAGATTAGAATTAGATTAGATTAGGTAGATTAGATTAGATTAGATTAGACTAGATTAGAATTAGATTAGATTAGGTAATTAGATTAGATTAGAATAGAATTAGATTAGATTAGGTAGTTTAGATAAGATTAGATAGATTAGATTAGATTAGATTGATTAGATTAGATTAGTTTTGGTTAGATGAGAATCTGATTTGATTAGGTAGATAAGATTAGATTAGATAGATTAGATTAGAATTAGATTACTTAGATAGATAGATTAGAGTAGATTAGGTAGATTAGATTAGATTAGGTAGATTAGGTTAGATTAGATTAGAATTAGATTCGGTTAGGTAGATTAGATAAGATTAGATAGGTTAAACTAGATTAGAATTAGATTAGATTAGGTAGATTAGATGAGATTAGATAGGTTAGATTAGAAATAGATTAGATTAGGTAGATTAGGGTAGATTAGATTAGAACTGGATTAGATTAGGTAGATTAGATTAGATAGTTTAGACAGATTAGATTAGAAATAGATCAGATTAGGTAGATTAGATTAGATTAGAATTGGATTAGATTAGGTAGATTAGATTAGATTAGATTAGATTAGATTAGATTAGGTAGATTAGATTAGATTAGATTAGGTAGATTAGGTTAGATTAGATTAGATTAGGTAGATTAGATTAGATTAGATAGATTAAACTAGATTTGAATTAGAGTAGGTTAGGTAGATTAGATTAGGTTAGACTATATAGATGAGATTAGATTAGATTAAATTTGATCAGAATTAGGTTAGAAGTAGATTAGTTAGATAGATAGATTAGATTAGGTTAGGTTAGATTAGATTAGATCTGATGAAATTAGATTAGATTACATAAGATAGATTAGATTAGATTAAATTAGGTTAGAATGGATTAGGTTAGATAGATTAGATAGATTAGATTAAATTTGATAGATTAGATGAGGTAGATTAGATTAGAGTAGATTAGATTAGATAGATTAGATCAGATTAGATTAGGTTAGATAGATTAGATAGACAGATTAGATTAGATTAGATTAGGTTATATTAGGTTAGATCTAGATTAGATTAGATTAGACAGATTAGATAGACAAATTGGATTAGATTAGATAGACTAGATTTAGATTTGATTGATTAGATTAGAATAGATTAGATTTGGTTAGAAAAGATTAGATTAGAATCAGATTAGATTAGGTAGATTAGGTCAGATTCGACTAGGTAGATTAGATTAGATTAGATTAGATTAAGTTAGATTAAATTAGGTAGATTAGATTAGATTAGTTAGATTAGATTAGAAATAGATTAGATTAGGTAGATTAGATTAGATTAGGTTAGATTAGGTAGATTAGATTAGATTAGATTAGATTAGATTAGGTAGATTTCATTAGATTAGATAAATTAGATTAGAATTAGAATGAAATAGATAAGATTAGGTAGATTAGATTAGATTAGATTAGAATTAGATTAGATTAGGTAGATTAGATTAGATTAGATTAGACTAGATTAGATCAGATTAGATTAGGTAGGTTAGATTAGATTGGAATATTTAGATAGATTAGATTAGATTAGATTAGATCAGATTATGTAGATAAGATTAGATTAGGTTAGATTAGATTAGATTAGATGAGTTTAGAATTGGATTAGATTAGATTAGATTAGGTAGATTAGATTAGATCAGATTATGTAGATAAGATTAGATCAGGTTAGATTAGATTAGATGAGTTTAGAATTGGATTAGATTAGGTAGATTAGATTAGACTAGATTAGATTAGGTAGACTAGATTAGATTAGATTAGATTAGATTAGATTAGTTTAGAATTGGATTAGATTAGGTAGATTAGATTAGATTAGAATTGGATTAGATTAGGTAGATTAGATTAGATTAGATTAGATTAGATTAGATTAGATTAGATGAGGTAGATTAGATAGATTAGATTATAGGTTAGACTAGATAGATTAGGTAGATTTTGGGTTTCGGGTTTCGTAGTTTGAAACCAACTTTAATAGTCGGTTTCGGGTTTGGGGTTTGTGGTTTCTGGTTTCGGCCGATCCTCAGGAAGCCAAGTCTTCAGAGTCGGTTTCGGGTTTCGGGTTTCGCGGGTCGAAACCAACTCTGCAGATCTCCGGATCACGTCTCCACTAGTAGTCAGTCAATGCATAACCCAAAGAGGTTTTTCGTCCCCTGATGGTTTGCACTGGTCTGTGCTAGGTGAGCAAAAGCGATACCGTTGCTTCGTATTTGGCCACGAAATCGCTGCAAGAGACTATCAATTTCTTCAAGGTCTTGGTGTGCAAAAACTCTTGTGACCAAGTTTCAACAGAATTGGATTCCTAGGAGTGTTTGTTTCAATGTTTTAGCAGCACGGGACATCCATTGACTTTGATAAACATGTAAACATGCCACATTTGCCGTTGTCAAACACTTTGTGCCGTCGTTCAACACGTTGTGCCTAGTTTGCCTCCATCTCTTCACACACAGGAAGACTTGAGCCGACAGTTTGCCGAGCTTCGATCAGAGCTGCAGCAACGAAATCAGCACCTGAAGAGCATAGACCACAAGATGCATAGATTTTCACAAGATCACAAGAGCGGGGAATGGCGTGATAGTTCCAATACTTACAGAATAGTTCCTTGCAGACAGAATAGTTTTGAACAAATACACACATCCCATATGTTGATGTCAGAGACTCAAAATGACTTGATAGATATGACTTGATAGATACAGGAGTGTATGCTGAAAACTTGGTTTCTGCATTGCTTCGAGTTTTTGCATTATTCATTCGAACACATTGAGTTTTCATGTTGCCGCTTTCTCAGGTATTTGGAGAGGCAGGCGGCTGCAGTCAGAAGTATCAGCCAAATGAGCGGAATCTTCAACTCGAAAAGCCCAGATTTCTCAAACAAAGTCAACAGCGAGTGCCTTGGCATTGGCGTTGCATTGTGGGAAAACTAACAAAGCTGTGGCCAACTCTGCACTAAAAGCTGCATCCTTGTGTAATTTGCTGTTTTAGTGCAGCACCGGAACTTTCCGAAGATATTCGGAAGATATTGGGATGATGATATTTGTAATATGTTTTGATATTGGGATATTGGGATGTTTTGCTGATGATCTTGAGATGTTTTGCTCGGGATATTTAGAAAGCAAGGCCAACTTCTTCGCAAGCGCTATGTCGAGGACCTTCGTCGCTTGGCGTAAGTTTCTGACAGGCCATGACTCTCAAAAGTTTTTCGTGACCTTATGGGCCTGTGAAAAAATATGAAATCCATAAGGATCCAATAGGATCCATAAGGGTAGAAAAGCTTTGGGCACGAGGACACAGTGTTGTCAGCACTTGATGTTGTAGACATTGTGGACACTGTATGCTGTCGACATGTGCATTTTAGCAGTTGATCCAAGTCCTAAACAGCGAGGTCAGCTTATTTGGGGCCAGCGGCACCTATTCCATCGGGAGAAACAGAGCCCACTGAACATGGTGGTCATCCGGCTATCGAGCAGTGTTTTGGAAGCAATAGCAATTCGGAAGTCTTCGATGGAAAAGCTCTTGAATGAATCTTGAGAACTGATAGAAAGTCTGTGCAACAGCAGAACTTGCAGAGCCTAGCAGGTCATTTGTACCACCTGCATCGCCAAGGCTGAAGCCAACAGTGAAGCCAGAAGTTCCGGAAGAGGTTGACGTCGCCCCTCCACAACCTTTGCAGGCAGCTTGGGCGAGTAGAGTGGGACCTGGCTGTTTGGAGTTTCAAACAGAGAAAACCGTCCCCAAGATGCCCCAAGGTTGAGTCCAGCCTTCTAAATTCTGCAGTTTCAGGATTCTCAATGATTCTCAATGATTCTAAATGATTCTCATGTTTACTGTAGAACTTTTGACTTTGACATCTTTTGACATCGACCCGAAGATAGATACGATAGGAAGTCTTTGCAATACTGACAAAGGATATCTGTCAAGGCCATGGATTTTCGAATTTTCGATATCCGATGCCATGCGGCAGGCAAATCCTGAAGAAATGGATAGAAGGGCCAGAAGTTGAAATTGCTGATCGATGCGTTGTGACATGTTGTGACATGTTGTGACAACTGTCAATTCATTGCTGTTAAGCGGCAGAAACCAGAGAAACGATTGAAGTAGACACGGCCTACACACCATCTAATTATATAAAAAGATATAAAAAGGGTAATACACATGACATCAGTTTCATATGTTTCATGTTTCGGCAGAATAACATGGTTTTTGCATGTTTTCGGCTTGCCACTTGTAAAGGGCCAGTGATACTGTACGCCATCCGTCAAAGTTCACCGTTTCTTTGAGCTTTCTCCGGACCTGAAGCAGGTCAACGGCTGAACAAGCCATGTCAAGCTGTCTGATTTTTGAACGCTGGGAATGCAGGTTTCAAGCTGGGAAGGAACACTGTTCAAAAAACTGTTGTACAAATCAATGTCAGAGCTTGTTTGAGGGATCACAGGTTGCTAGAGAAATTGTTTCGTTCCGGTTCCGTTCCAGGTGCACTCCCAGATTCTCTTCTGTGACATCTGATATTTGAATCTATCTGACCTGTTCAAGTTTGAAGGAGCCCAAGTCGGATTTTGTCGATCAAATTCGAACGCATACTGAGTCTACTGTGAATGAAGCAAATTAGTTGCATCAAAGAGCCTGACCCGAAAGACTGCAGACCAGAACTTCAGTGAAAACATGAACGTCAGAGTGGAAGGAATGGTTTCATGGTTCCAACTTTTGTACTGCAAACAAGTAGGTAAGCTTTCTTAAGCCTTTCATTACTTTCAAAGCTTTGTCTGTGAACATCAGTTAAATGATGTTAAATGGATGGAAGATCTGGCAGGGCCACAGGTTATGGAAAGATGGATCGGCCCAGCCGAAGGTTGGTTGATCCTCTGCCGTCACTCCGTCAAGTTGAAATTTCTGAAAGTATTTCAAAGTGTTGCTGCCGTTGACTGAGAACATCAGTCATCAGCATGCCATCAGCTAGTTTTGACTAGTTGCTCCTTGTCTCAGTGAAATACCGTAGCAAATCGTAGCAAAGACGACTCCACGGTATAGGTGCACAGAGCAAGTGAACACTAGTATTCCGCAGTCTATATCTATTGCTGTCTAAACCTTAAGAGAGTTGCTTGGAGTTTAGTTTGGATCGAGCCTAGCACATTTGTCCATGAGTTTGCCTGGCAAACATGAGACGAAGGAAATTGTACGGACATTGCAAGACTATGTCAAGCAGACACCAGACTTCCCACCTGCGCCTCCGGAAATGTGACTGGGGGATTCAGAGCATTTTTGTGAAAAAGGTAGCAGAATCAGACATCATTGTGACATCATTGTGACATCGTTGATGCAAATGTGAGCCACAAAGTGACAATTTCAACTTTCATCTCTCCAACCTGAGCCAGGTAGAACCTTTGCAGGCATGGCTGAGCTGTTTGGGCCCGTTGGGGAGAATTTTGGGGACCTGGGAAGTGTCACGGGTGGATCAAAGTCAGCGGGCAGCAGACACTTGAGCTTGCAGAATCTTGCAGGCTTCATCACTTGAAACGTGAAAAATCCACGAAAAAAACCACTGTTTTTTGCAGATCTGTTTCTGAACATCGCCAATTCCTTGACCTGATTCATTTTGGACCATCCATATCATCCCATATCTTTCAGGGGTTGAATCTGCTATGCTGTGCAAAGGCAAACTATGGCAAACTTATGGCAAAATCGTAGCAGAAATCTCCCTTCCTCTCTTTGGAGGAGGTGATCCGTTCAACCATGCTTCAACCTGCCCAGAGGTATCCTGGAGGGTCTCTTCATCCATTTGCAGAATGTTGCAGAATATCATAGAATATCATTCAGCCAAAGATACAGCGTTCACTGATGTTCACTGAACATACTTCAATTACAATTGAGATCAATTGGGCTACTGTTCATGACTTTTCATATTTTTCATTCGACATGTTTGACATTTTCTTGACATTTTCGACCTTGTTTCGTAGCCCATTTGACGTCCACTGCCGCGAGGTCCGCTGCTAGGACCCGGGACCATGCAAGACTTGTGCTGGCGGCGCAAAGTTTGAACCTACGACTCTTTTGTGACTTGCCAAGGAAAATGAAACAAAAGATAACAAAAGATAACAAAAGCACTTTAGACAACATGTGTGTGTGTGTGTGTCTGTGTGTGTGTATTCAAAGTGTATTTTGATGTATTTTGCATTTTTTAGTTGTCTGTTGCGAGTTATCTTGGCTTCTTTTACCGTCCGATCATGAATGCACAGCCCTGCGTAGAGCTGCACGGAGAGCGACAGCCACAGAATGACCCAGACTCATCCAGACTCACTCTGCAAAACCCGCCCTGACCTGAGCCATCCTGAACCCGACGGCTCCCGAGGGTGTTGTAGACTTGGACTTTCCAATCCTCGGCGCCAACTGGAAGCTGGCAGCACCAAGAGAGAGGGAATTGTTCAGGACACAATCAGAGCGCATTCTGGGTAAAATCCAGTAACATGTGATGGAGAATTTAGCAATTCTTTAAAATCTGGGTGAGTATTTATGGAATTTCTACGTTCATTATAGGATGGTACTACTTAAAACATGTTGAAACTTAAAATCGTAGGTTCAAGTCCATCACAAATGACCCACTGTTCTGGACAGCGGTGTCTCTAGCGCTCTAGGGCTATCCAACGCTCATCGGAAAAGTATGCCATGATGTTCCAAGGGATAGTCTCTTTGGATCTCTTTGGTGTCGAAAAACGCTGTGGCTCTTGGCGACCTCTCATGATCATGCAATGTACACGATGTACAGTCGTGAGCCTTGTGAGCTTGCAGGAGTTTCTGCTGTAGACTGTGGTGCTGGGCATCCGCATTTGCTTCAACGCCAGCTAGGAACCCCTTCCCCGGGCAAAAGCGTCGAAAAATCAGATGCAGAAACTGTTGTCGCTAGTTGCACGTACTCTGATTGCATGTTTCCTCCTTGCACTGTGTGTATATGGGTTGTATATGTGTGAATAGATGTGAATAGCCTTGGTAGAATTGCAGACTGAGTCAGATCTTTACCATTCTTTACCATTCTTTACCAATCACATCAGATCACATCAGATCACCATTAACCACCTGACTCCAGAGATCTCCAGAGCCAGGAGTCGCAGTCCTGGAGATGGCCGTGGAGACTGTGGAGACTTCAGCGATGTGATGTCGTTTGAAAAGAAACTTGAAAACTGAAATTGAACATCTCAAGAAATCTCAAGCTGATTCCAAGCAGTATAATAATTATAGTAATTATAGTAATATATATATAATATATAGTATAATCACGCATAATCTTGTTTGTGGACCTAACTTTCCAAGCCTTTTAATCTTGTCAGTTGGCTGTGGTTGGTCTGAGTTTGCCGCAAGCAACCTACTTAGCCCATGCCACACACGATCATTCCCTTGAACAATGGCAGACAGGGTCAATGATGTCAATGTATGGAAGATCAATGCGTTGGGTCTTCTATTGCTATGTGCTTGATGGCGTTGGCCTATCCCTTACGTGGTGTAAAGGCTGCATCAATATGACGGGGTGGACACATCTTACTTCCCCAGGATAGTTGCTGCTTCACCCAACATGCCAAAAAGGTGTTCCAGATGTTTCAAACTTGTGAGCCACCCATATGCTGCTGAGCCACTGGAACCTTAGTCGTCTGGCTCCTGAGCCAGTCATAGATCTGGATTCTGCAATCCTGGTGACTTGCAAAATGACACAGTTTTCCCCTGTTTGGATGCCGCAGCAGGGTGCATTCACAGCAAAGTCGATATCTTGTGCCATGCAACATCATGCAACCATGAAACTTGCGCAACAGGAGTTTCTCTTCATTTTGCCCAGGTCTTTTGGCACTTCAGACATGTTCAGACTGGCTGAGACTGCAAAGCTCGTAACGACTTGCTCGTGACGCCTACTCGTGACTCGGCAAAATGACAAAAAACACTGCAATTTCTGTCGTAATTCTGCCGTAACTACGAAGAGGTAAACATGATTAATCTACACTGCAAATGCTTGGTTGACTACTTGGTACACTACTTGGTTAACTACTTGCATTCTGCATATCTCCGGCGTAGCCAATTGCAAGCATCGATCCCTCTATCACTGTGTTTCAAGGAGTCAACATATTTCATATTTCAGCATTATTTAACGACATATCAAACAGACTCAAAAAAGGGTGGGGGTCATCAAGTATGATTGGCAGCCACGTGATGTACTTGTGAGCCAAATATGGGTAAAGCATGGTAAAGCATAAACCTGGTCTGGAATTTCTTTGGATACTTAATGTTACCAAGGGCGTAGTTCCTAGTGGTTCCACAAGACATCACAAGACTATTGGTGCAAATCTTGCCCATGCTTGATCCTCCTGAACGCGCTAGAGATGCACATTTTAGGTGGACATTGAGCGCTACAAGCAACTGCTTGGAAAAAGAGAGGCTGAGTGGGCAGATGTTGGCAGGGTCTCCGAAACAGGAACAGGAACCTGCAAAAATGCAACTTGATTAACATCACTTATCATCTAGTGAATCTAGTGCTAGTGTGTAGCAGTGTGGTAGTTCACTTTCCCTTTGTCCTGTCGTTCATCGCAGGCTGTTTTGTTTTTCGGAGTTAAACGTTGAATCTGGAGTGACATGCTGTGGCTTTGTGCTGATAACATCTGATAACTCATTCCAGGGTGAGGATCATCCAGTCGCCCCAGTCCCAAGAGAACATTGTCGCCACAGAAAGTTTTTCTGCATACAGTATATATATATATATCATATATATATATATATATCATATTATATATATATAATATGATATATATATATATCATATATAAGGAGCTTGCCAGAGAGCATATGCCTGCATGGATATGAATAGATATGAACCCTGGCAGGGCCATTCACAACATTTTTTGAAGACGAGTTTGAATCCAAACCTTGATGTGAAGTGCATGTTTCTTATTGTTCTGTACCCAGTTTGCAGGTAGGTTGAGGTATAGAAATTGCCATCCACTCATTGCTGTACCTGATATGCAGACCACCTTGTGACAGCTGCATCAGGACTCTCAGACGTGAGCTTTGCGCTCCCGCCCGACATAGACAAGGAAGGAAGAGATTGCATCAAAATGGAGTTATGGCCAGCTATGA